ATATATATATTTAATATTTCAATCGAAAAAATAAAAGAAATTGAAAATAAGGGTGTGAGCGAAAAACTAGGGGCGTTCGTCGGTGGGTACGGTGCAATATTTAGATATTTCGGTTAGGTATTTTCGGTATTCGATTTCTTAAAATTTTATACCAATACCATACCTAATTAAATTTGGTATGGTTCTGCTTTTTTTCTTTTGATTTCGATTTATTCGGTCTGGTAACTTCGATTTCATCGGCTCGAATATAGATTAATGCATAAAGTCATAAACTGTAATATTTTTAAGTAAGGTAGGCACAAAAACGGAAGTAAAAATATTATGATATAATGAAAAACAAAGATTGAAACCAAAAATGCTAAACCTAGATGGGAGAAAGGTTAAAATGTAAGTACACAACCAAAGAAAAGGTGGAAAGGCAAGTATCATGGAAAAAAGGTGGTAAAGGTTAAAAAAAGAACTATAAAAATAACGGATAGTAAAACTTGAATATTTATGTTATAATCAATAATAGTTATATTGTGTCACTTAGTATGTATTTTGGTATGGTATCGGTATTTCTTTATTTTTTAATACTGAATACCATACATGTGGAAATCGAATTTTTAATGGATCATGCCTATATGAAATTTGAGCTAAATCTTAAATTCAACACACTACTCTTGAAATTCTAGGAGTTTATTAGGGTTGCTTGGAGGCTATCTATCAAAGACTAACATGGAGGCTACTCTAACCTAATCCTAGGTCACTCCTATAAAAAGGGTTACATATTCCCTATAAAAGCATCTCAAATGGAGATCATCTTGAATATCCCATAAATTTACGGGATACTTAAAAAGAGATCGATCAAAATGTGGTCGGATAATTTTTGATATTCAAATAGTTCAAGAAGACCCACAACATACTTTCATGGATACCAGATACATCCAAAGAAGTCCGCATCATCCATACATTCGAGAAATACGCTGCTCTAGCCCTCGAATTAGGGAGATAATCAAGAGAGAAGAATCAAGGGAGAAACAGAATTATTCTCACAATTAATTAATAAATTATTTTTTTCTTTTGTGATTGCAGTTATTTTTTGTGTGTCAAAAATTTGCTGCAAACGAATTGGCACGCCCAGTAGGACTAATTCTGCCCTTCATCTCTTCCTCTCGTAAAGCAAGGTCTGCAAATTCCAAAACTAGTTGGGGGCAATATCTCTCGTTCCATGTTCGTCATAGTTTAGCACACGTTGTCAACACAAGATCGAAGGTGTACTTCAAGTCACGTCTTCAAGTTTTGGCAAGCTTACACTCCGGCAAACCTTAAAGTTGAGGCATTCATAGACACTGAAAATTTATCAAATTAGTGCATAAAGAAATTTGGACTAGGGCCTCTACAAGATGAGCCCATTAGGGTTACTTGGTGGCTACCCAAACCCTAATTCATGCCTATAAATATGGCTAGATATGTCCTTCAAAAACGATCTCAACAATTTCATAAATTCTCAGAATATGCACAAAGAAATCAAATATACTATCTTCGAAATTCCATAAAACTCTTGGTTCAAAAGAAGAGATCAAAACATGTTAAATATGTCTTGCTCAAAGTTCTAGCAACATTCAAGGTTCAAATGGAGTGTTGCTACATGCTTCGTAAACATCAAATACATCAAGGAGATGCATATCATCCTACGTACGAGTAATACGCCGATAAGGCCCTCGAATTACGGATAACAAATCGGAGGAAAGAATCAAGGGATAAATAGAGTTGTAACTCGCAATGTTTATCAATAAAATCTCTTTTTCTTTATAGTTATTTGTGATTGCAGTTTTATTTTTCTGTACAAAAATTGTTGCAACACGCCGGGTGGGACCAATTCTGCCCTTCATCTTTTTCTCCTGCCAATTGAAAACAAAACTTGCAAAACCATCTGTTGCGATGGTCGAGTACTTCAAGTCGTGTCTTCAAATTTCGGCAAGCCTACACCTCGACAAAACTTGAAGTTGGAGCATTTGTAAATATCGAAATTTTAATGGATCAAGCCTATATGAAATTTGAGCTAAATATTAAATTCAACATACTATTCTTGAAATCCTAGGAGTCTATTAGGGTTGCTTGGAGACTATCTATCAAAACCCTAACTTGGAGGCTACTCTACCCTAACCCCAGGTCACTCCTATAAAAAAAGTTACATATTCCCTTTAAAAAATATCTAAAAAATGGAGATCATCTTGAACATCCCGCAAACTCATGAGATACTCACAGAGAGATTGATCGAAATATGGCCGGATAATTCTTGATAATCAAATAGTTCAAGAAGATCCACAACATACTTTCACGGATACCAAAATATCCAAGGAAGTCCGCATCGTCCATACGTTCGACAAATATACTGCTCTAGCCCTCGAATCAGATAGATAATCAGGAGAGAAGAATCAAGAGAGAAATAGAATTGTACTCACAATTGATTAATAAAATTATTTTATTCTTTTGTGATATTGCAATTATTTTTTGTGCGTTGGAAATTCATTGCAAACAATACCTAATACCAATGTTTTTTAAAAATTCAAACCAAATACCATAATAAAACCAAAATATCAAATATCAAATATCAAAATTTTTAGTTTCGATGCAATAATTCGATATTTACCAAATTATGCATGGCCTACTGAAAACCAAGAAATTGGTGTGTAATGCGGATAATAAAACGACAAATCTTACTTCATCCATCGCAGAATGAATATCAACCTGTTCATGCCAAATAGTGGACAGTCCATTGTTTTAAGTATTTTTACGCATAAAAATTTTCAACCTTACAACATTTTAAAAATATTGGATCGATATGAATATTAGAAGGGAAAAAAAACCCAGAATAAATGTGAACCACTTCTACTTTCTCTCGTACAACTTTTGCTCCAGTTTAATGTAAAACTAAAATATTACACCCATGACCCACCCATGTTATAAGTATTAAAATAGTAACATTTCTCATCCGTTTCTGATCTACGTGCAAGGTCAAATAAAAACATTCAAGTAGGGGAGAAATAAAATTAGTTACTCTTAACCCAAAGGACGAAACTGACTTCTGGGGTTCAGGGCCTTGAACAGTTCAAGAACAAATGAGTTTATACGTAAAATTAATGCGTTGACGAGGAAAAATGGTCCTTTCCATATTATGTGGCTTTTTGTGAGTATATATTTCTATTATTTAGAAAGTGAATTATTATTTCAGCCTAGAAAAGTGAATATTTTGAAACGAAAAACATATTATTCAGGTAGAATAACAATAAAAACATGACCATTAAATTAAAGAAGGAAGAACTTTATTTCGAGTGATTTGAAAAAAAAACAAAAAAAGAAGTATTCCTCTACATTAGAATTTAGAAGTAAGGAGAAATTGAACGACGTGGTCTGTTTATTTATTTTTCTGGGACGATGTGGTCTGTTTATTCAAGGGATTTTTACATAAATAGTCACTTAATTCACGTTTTACTTTTATATATATATATATATATATATATATATATGTCTATAAATTATTTTTAGTTTAAACCTGTATACGGCCGAAATCAGGTGTGCCCGATTTCGTAGGCTCGAGGGGTCGTTTCGAGAATAAGTTCAAAATGGCCCGGGCTCGAGCCCGATGGCGGAGTACAAGACTCGAAGACCGGAGTGCTCGATGAACACCGAGGCCAAGTATGACCAACCTCGAGATAATACCGTTATGATTTTATAACAGAAAGAGCATGATTCCCGCAGTGGCCCTAAGATCACGACGTAAAACGGATTTGTACTAGGTGGTTAGACAGCTGTATAATAAGATTCCCTATTATAATTAGAAGTGTACCTTATTTAGGGTTCCCCTACTATATAAAGAGGATCCCTATCATTTGTAACGCATGATTCATTGACAAAAGAATATACATACATTACTTTCTTGCTTACTTTTCATCTGAATTGCCTTATTACTTTATTGTTCTGACTAACCTACCTTGAAGCTGCCTTAGCTCGAGGTCGTGACTTACTTGCACACTGGTTTTGACTTACTCTATTCTTTAATTTATATATTTGATTTTTTGTTTATCAATTAGTATTGGATTAAATCACATATCTTTAAAATCACTAAAACTACAATACAAGTTTAATTATTACTCGAATTTAGGGTAAACAAAACCATATGTATAATTATTTAAATTAATTTTTTTTTTCTAGTCACGTTGAACAGCGCGCCTCTGCAACAGTGCAATGTGAACACAAGTTTTTTAAGTAAAAGTAAAAAAGAAAAGGAGAAAAATATTTACTATGATTCGAGTGGCAGCCACATTTGATTACTTAAAATATATTGACCGTGGACTTGGATCCTTGACATTTTCTTGACTTGGTTGCTTCCTCCTTCCATCCTTCTTGGTCCCTAACTCTACTCACCACTCAACAGTTGCAAGAATCATCCCATATAAATACAATGCACTAAAAAAGTTCATTCCACACTTGTGCAGCTTCAACACGTTTCGTTTCTGATTTCTCTTTCTCTCTTTCTCTTCTTTTTCTTGGACTTCTCTCCCATCCCTTTTGAATATTCCCTTTGCTTAATTCCTCGTCTATTTATAGAAAGAATAATCTAAGAAAGAAGATCTTGATCTGCAACTTTTTCCGACACTCCAAAAGCAGAATCGAATTGAATTTCTCAGCTTAAAAAGATGAAGGTTAGCTTTTCTCTCTCTGATTTCTGCATATTTTCTCTGTTTCTTTTTTCCTCAATTACAGATTCTTATTCTCGAGAAATATTAGTAAAATTTAGATTCAAAACTCTATTTGCGCACTTTATATAAAGTATATACTACCTGCTTACTACTGGTTTGTTGATTTCTAAGACTGGGCAATTCTCAGTGCGTGGATACTGAATTTATCTGTAGAAATATGTTTTTGATAAGTTGATTGAGTTTTATCGGAGCTTTAATCTCTAAAATTTTATTATTCTTCTTTTACAGAAAGTAGTACTGAAGTTGGAATATTTCGATGAGAAAGTCAAGCAAAAGGCCATGAAAAAAGTGTCTGGTCTTGAAGGTAAAATTATACGCTACTTTTTACTAATATTTCTACAGCAATCGTGAACGTTCTAGAAGCCCAGATCCCGAAAAAGTGAAGTTTCTCAATTTTGATTTGTTATTTCTCTGAATTTCTATTGCAGGAGTTGAATCAATTGCAATAGACACAAAGGACAAGAAATTAACAATAACAGGAAACGTAGATCCAGTTTCACTAGTTTCCAAATTGAGGAAACTCTGTCACACTGATATCCTCTCTGTTGGACCAGCAAAAGAGCCTGAAAAGAAGAAGGACGATGGCAAAAAAGATGAAGGGGGAAAGAAAGAAGAAGGCAAAAAAGACGACGGAAAAAAAGGAGGAGATGACAAAAAGGGAGGAGATGAGAAGAAGAAAGATGGGAAAGATGATTCTCATCCAGTAATGAAGGCTTATCCAGCTCCTATGTATTATCATAATTATCAGCAACCCTATCAACATTATCAACCTCCTGTTCCTTCTTATTATCACCAGCGAAGTGTCGAAGAGGATCCTAATTCTTGTGTTATCTGTTAAGTTATATTGATTATTGGATTCAATTCATATCTATTATAGTACTATATATTTCTGTGAGTTTTGAGAGGTTGTAGATTAATTCAGAAATCAAATCTTGATTGTACATGCTTTTGCTAGTTTGTTCTCTCACATTTTTGTTCAACTTCAATAATTTTCTACGTTTATTTTAATTAAACGGCCACTTGGATTTATTAGAACATCTTTAGTAATAAACCAATGGATGTGGAGCTGGAAATTGATGCACATATTGGAATGGTGGTTTGATATATCTGTAATTATCAGCAAAAAGATTATTATCAAAGTTAAGTTTCGGAAAACCCTTCGGGTTGCCCAATTGGTTTGGAGGGTATCGATTCCTGCCTTAATGCCTTGTGGGTTGAGCCTGTCGCACAGGGCTTGCCTAGTGCAGTTTACATCCCCTGTATGGTTTGCAGGAATGTTTACCCAGTGCGCACAAAGTGCTCATCACAGAGCGCTCACCCGAAGGGCAGAGGTTGTAGCGGCTGCCGGTTTCCCCTCTTACCAAAAAAAATGTTAAGTTTCGGGTCTTTGGAATTCACTGGCCCTATTAATTTAGGTTAGTCAAGGGGCCGGCGGGTTTAGCACTTTTTATTAAAGAGAAATTTCATGCCAAAAATGTGAAATCTCTGATTAATACATAAACCGTTATCATTCTATCTCACACTTTGGTGTTTCAAAGTTAAGTACATATAAGACACCGTAAAATTGAATCTTCTCTACATTTTTGGTACAGTAGAGCAGTACGGAAGAAACAATACAATTTGAATTGGCTACGGAATTCAGCTCCGATCTAGTCAATTAGTGTTATCTAGAACTGTGTCCACAGGAGACTTTTCAGAGTAATTTGTGGATAGTAATGCCTTATATATGTTTTAAAAAGAAAAACGTTGAAATTTAGCTGCCAACTCTGACAAATTATTGTTATGAAGTGTAATTAGAATGGACTAGTTAAGATAGCACCCACAAAAAGTCATCACCATAATTATTTTTGCCGTGTTCCAAAAGGCAAATGGGGGAGTTTTTATGTCCTTGGGAGTAGGGTCCAGGACTATTACATCGAGAAGTTTTATTGTGCGTCTCACACAACTTACTTAGTTGTGTGAGGCTCCTTTTTGTCTCACAAATTTGTGGACCCCAATTTTACACTCCTAGGTCCATAAAAATCTGAGTTCACAAAACTATGAGACAAAAAGATACCTCATACAACTAATGTCAGTTGTATGAGACACAAAATAAAATTTTCCCTATTACATCCATCAATGCCACACGATTTATATAAGGCCGTAATAATAATAAATTTAGTAAAGAGACCTTTTTCAATAAACACTCGACTCAGAAATTTATGTAATGCCACGGTTAAAATTTAGCCTGCACTAGAAAATTTTGAATACTTCTTTGAGAACTCACCTATACTTTTTGCTTTGAGATAGTATTTTTCAAATAACAGTAAAACGCCAAATTAGATGAAATCCATATTATTTGAGAATAAAACGTCAGTTTTAGATGAAAACCGTGCGATTGTTGACCTTATGAAAACAGAATATTTGATAAAAACAATTAGGAGTGACATAAACGGCTATTTTTGTGAAGCATTTAAAGATCTATATATATATATATATATATTAAAGCAAGAAAGTTACCATATATAATTGACATTATGGTTAAGTCAAGTGGCAAACTAATAAATGTCAATAATATATGGTAACTTTATTCTCTCTCTCTCTCTCTCTCTCTCTCTCTCTCTATATATATATATATATATATATATATATATATATACGTACGAAATTTGAATTAAAAGATAATTTTGAATTTATAGATAAAGTTCTGAAATTCGAATTTAAATTAAATATAAAATATATCTTTTTTTATCATGTTATCATACTTAATTCTGTTATTGATCATATGCAATCATGTTAGGAACTTTTGTTATTTTTTCTAATAATATTTACTACTTCGCCTCTAGAAAAACAACAACAACTCGATATAACTATAAAACTCTTTCACATTTAAAATCCTATAAGCATAGTTTTTTGAAACACTTGTAGCTAGATTTGAATAAAATAAAATTCTTTTAAAATAAATGTAATATATAGGGTACACGTCTATGTTTATATAAATAACAAAAAAGAGTTTACAAAACCAAATAAAAGTTTACTTACATATATAATAAAGTAAACATACATGCCGGAGAAAGAAACATCACAAAATCAGTCAATATTTATTTTTAAAAAAAGTTGTTTCTTTTTTCTTCTTGAAGAATATTTGTTTGAAGAGTCAATTTGCATAAATGGACATCAAACAAATAACAAAACTTTGGCTATACAATTGCTATCATTAATTTCAATTTAGCACATTCAAGGAATCGAAGGGTATAAGCTAAAACCCCTTCATTTAGCTGTAGTCAAGCCAATATTGCAAGGGTATATATTTTTTTTCGTTGAAGAATATTAGTTTTGAATCATTAGATTATGTGAAAGGTTTTTCTTTCAAACTCAACAAGAGAGAAATTGATTTCTAATTGATGGTTTCTACAGTGACTTTTAAGTGTAACAAAGAGTATATATAAAGAAAAAATTGGTATGACGTGAAATATCTTTTTTTAAATGTAAACATATTATTTCGAAAAAACTCTTTACTTTTCTTAATTCAAAATAATAAAAAGATAAGATATTTTTGAACATTAGTAGAGAGCTTTAAAATTATTATAGTAGAATTTATATCATGGATAAACTCAAAAAAATGAAATCTTATGGAATATTTACATAATATCCGGCAATATTTATTGTTTACTTTCTATAGCTCATATAAATAGATGATATACGACAACACACGATTATACACATATTATATATGAATTATATATAAATTACACATTATTCAATTTTTTAATTTAAGTAGTCGGGTGAGCACCTATTTAGGCTGATTAGATAAAGCCNTAAAATTATTATAATAGAAGTTATATCATGGATAAACTCAAAAAACCGAAATCTTATGGAATATTTACATAATATCCGGCCATATTTATTGTTTACATATAAATTACACATTATTCAATTTTTTAATTTAAGTAGTCGGGTGAGCACCTATTTAGGCTGATTAGATAAAGCCAAAAGAAAAATATGAAATAATTTCAACCAAGGACTAAAAATATAATTAAAGTTCATATGTAGACAAGTTTTATTAAAACTCATTCTCTTATAGTGAAATAAATTAATTTTTTGTAACAAAAAAAATGACATAAAAATAAGATAAAAGAAAATAAATATTGAAAAAAATGTTAGAAAGATCTAAAAACCAGAAATAGAAGATGACAACAAATTTCTTCTTATGTTTCACCTTTGTTGAGTATAAAAAATTTGAAAGCTAATCTCATCGATTTCAATTTTTTTTTCAACTCAAATACATAGATTATAAGATAAGGATATCTCAGAATATTTTTTTTAATTTACATTATGTGTCGTTTTTAAAAAATCACTATTACTAACAAACTAATATGATATTTGAATTTGAATTGGAATGCAATTTGAGTAGTTTGCATTGAGGTTAAGCCAAATATGGTGTCGAAAAGTAACTACTAGACAATTTTAAGACAATATATGCAATATTTTTAATAATAATCAACTAATTTAACATTTAATGATTCAAAGAACAAAATTTTTGTATATATAGGGTATTAAAAATTCAAACCATGGGGCTAGAGATATCGATAAACTTAAAGTGGAGTCATACTGAAATAAATCCGGCCAAAGTATCATTTAAATTTTAGATAGCTGATTAAAGTGGATTTTAAATTAGGGATAATATCTTCTCTTGCATCATTATTATAATATATATAAAGTTTTAGAAATTGAAATTTCAAAATAGAAATATTTTTTGAAAGATAATATCGTACCAAATAAGAGTTCAAGTCGTAGTATAAGAGTCACGTCGTAATCAAAGAATCGTTTATATCGTGTCAACCTTTGTGCTTTGCCATAAATATGAGTTATTATTTCACTTTGTGGCTATTTTTAGGTTCCAAAAACACCTATGAGAAAAGTGCAAAATAAAATTATCACTACGAGAATTGAGAAAATGTTAGTCTTTTTTCATGTAGTGTTTCTTAATTAATATCTGACGATTATCTATAATTATTTAGAAGGTTTAAATACTAAGGTTATTTACATATAATTCAAATAACTCAAATATTTAACATGGTTAGTGTCAATATTAAAATGGAGTAACAAAAATTCACTAGCTAAAAGAATTTTTTTTTATATTTTTAGATANAAGAATAATATTTTCACTTACATTATTATAAAAATAATTATTGTTAAAAAATAATGTTTTAGAAACCGAAAGTTTAAGAAAGAAATATATTTTAAGAGATATCAACACACCAAATAAGAGTTCAAGTAGCAGTAAAAGAGTTAAGTCTTATCCAAAGAGTCATTCATTATCTCAACATTTGATCGTTTTGCCATAAATATGAGTTATTATTTTGCTTCCTGACTATTTTTAGGATTCATTGACACCGGCAAGAATAGTATTAAAACAGAAAATAGAAGAAATGGTTAATTTTTTTCATGTAGTTAATATTCAATGATTATCTATATTTACTGAGAAAGTGTAAATTTTAAATGACTTAAATATTTGACATAATTCTGTGCATCCGCGCGGGTACTAATACTAGTTATCTATTAAATAGATCTCTGGACCAATCCCTATATATAGGCGGCATTTGAAGAAATGTTCCGTAGGTGACGGTTGCCTCAACATTCAACAATATGTGACGTTTGCTTGCCGCAAAAAGCCAATTGTATGTAAACAAAATTAAAAAAAAAAAAATAATAATAAAACATGTCTCAATCAATTGTGAGAAAATCCTCTTGTAACAAGTTGTTTGGGAGATTGAATAACAAAGTTAACTAATATGAGGGTCACTGTGATTCAAGGTCAGCAGAAGAGCTAATCCGAAACCATTACAAATTCAATCGATAATGACAAACGTCGTATTATTATTTTAAGAAAAATGAATAAAATTCGAAGTTGTCCTCTAATTATTTGTTCACTTTCTTTTTGGTTTGGTATACCAAATTTTGATGCCTTATGTAAATGCTCTCTTTGATATTATCGATTAAAGCTTAGTGACGAAACCAACAGTTCT